GGCCATGCCACAATCCCTTCTCTTCTATTCTTCTCTAAAAATCTTGGGCACGTACGCACACGCGCCCGGCGTGAGCCTCAAGCCACCGGGTCCGGGACTCAAACCATGGTCGACTACATGAGAGTCCAGCGACATAGCCGTTACACTAACTGCTGGTCCCTCCCATATTTCTTGTGGTCCTGCAGTGATTTCTAGTCATCTGATGGAAAGTGTGTTTCTTCCCAAATTTCAAGTTCAATCACACAAGTCTGTGGGCTGGAGGTTGAATTAACAGTGGAAAAATCTTTATTTCTCTTATTCCCCTGAAATCACTAGTTCTCAGGAACCATGAAGGTGTCTTCTCTATACCCCTACACTTCTAAGGAATTTTAGACATTTCTTATATAATTACATATTTAACTTCATTTCAGTTTTATTCTTACCTGTATTCTAATGGCATTATTTCATTCTTCCTCATATAACTTGTATTATTCATTCTTTTGCTATTTATGATAAATGACTTTTAGCTCACAATCTATAATACTATAAAGTTCTTAAAACAAATCACCATGTTGTTCTAGGTCATCATGCCAAATTTAATTAATTGGACAGTTAAATACAATTCTTTCAAAATTCGGCAAATAAACCACACTAGAACACAAACACTAGAATGTTTGCCCCTTTACTACATCCTCAGAAGTAAAAACACTTACCCCATGTTCCTTAGCAGCTACGACAACTTTAAGAAGAACATCTTCCTCAACAAAAGGTCTCACCGCATCGTGGATAATCACTACTTCTGGTTTAGAGAGGTTAGAGTTGGACTGACCCTCTGCCAGAGCTTTTAGTCCGTTGAAAATTGACCTATGGCGGGTTACTCCAGCTTCAATTAGTGAAATGCGTTTGTGCTGGTACTTCTGAATAATTTGTTTCATTGCTTCCATGTTTTCTCGAGTTACTGCAACAACAATGTCCTTTATCCAACACACTCTAAAAAGAAAGTATAATAATAAATATATTATATATATCTATACACATATAAAATTTAATAAAAATTTATTCTTAAAAGGCCAACAAGTGGTGTAGTGGTTAAGGCACTGGATTCCCAATGACCTACTGTGGTTCAGGTACTAGACCTGGTGGCTTGCTTTCTTGCTTTCCTGCTTCCTCTCTATCTCTCGCTGTCTGTCTTTGGTGAGCACAAATATCCTATAGCAAATTAAAAAGAATTTAAAAAAACAACGATAATAACAACAATAAATAAATTTTAAGAATTGATTCTTAGACAAGCTAGTAACAGAAAACTGAGTTACAAATATTAGCATATTTAGAGGGAGATCACAAATAGAAAGTTAATTCATAAAATTTAAGTCCAGTAGTTGATAATCAGTAAACATTTCACACTATAGATAAATATAGGTGGCATTTCACATTATACGCAAAGTACAGGATATTTAATGTATGTATATATTAGGTAATCAGGAAAGTCATGAAAGTATTTTTCTGTGTTTTTCTATGCAAGAGAATACATCATGACTTTCCCAATGACCCACAGTATATGAAGATACATCAGATATTTTAATTAGGTTAAATCTGAGCAATTAAAAAATTATATTGTCCAAGAGAACAAACAGGAATATGCTTTTAAAGCTACTTGTCCAAGAAATTTTTCAAAGGATAAAAATAACTCAAACCATTTTCATATTCCAAAAGTTGACCCTCTCTTTCAAGACAATTGATTTGGCATCTAAGTTGATGTAAATAACTACAAATAGAGGGACCAGCAGTTAGCGTAACGGCTATTTCGCTGAACTCCCACGTAGCCGATCACAGTTCGAGTCCCGGACCTAGTGGCTTAAACTCATACCGGGCGCGTGTGCATGCGTGCCCAAGATCCCAAGAGGAGAATGGAGGAGAAAGAATTACAGCATGGCCATCCTTCTGGGGAGTGATTTCTCGCTATCTCTGTCTCTCTCTGTCTTTCTGGCAAGTGCACATGCCCTATAGCAAAAAACTTCCCCCCCAAAAAATAATAAAATAACTACAAATAGATACACATCAGGCCTTAGAATATTTTGAATAACTACAAATAAATACACATCAGGCCTTAGAATATTTTGAACAATTATATGAGGCCTTCAATGTCACTATTACTCAGAATACTGATTTCAAGATCTGTTAGTGTATCATCTAGTCAGTTTAGTAAATTTACATCATCATTAAGCAAATAAAACAATGAATAAAACAAAAATTAGAATGCATAATACATAATAGGAACAGGATATAATGAAATTTCCTTTTGAATATCTGTGCAAGTATGTAAGTAAGCACTTGTCACTTAGCCATGATGCAAAATATAATTTTAACAGGTTATGGAAAAAGGAAAACTTTAGAAAACACCGTTTTAGGCCACTCTTAAGATATAACAGGCGTATCATGTTATTTTGTTCAGCAACCAAGCATACAACCCAATATTTGCAAGCCATTATAAGTACTGTTTGTATTTCAAAGGATTTATTCACATTCTTTCCTAGTTATAGAATTAAAAGCCTTTTACAGCATTAAATTTTAATAATGTAAAATCATGGGACTGAGAAAGACTTTAAGTACCTCACACAGTGCCACTGAACAAATATTTGCTGAGTAAAGGGATCTAGTCTTCCTCCTAACTGAAGGCAAGTCCACACCAAACCCACAGCAGCCTGATTCTATCAAGTCCTCTTGATTATTTCCTTCCTAGCACATTCCATAGGTAAATACAAACCTAGCCTCGAGCTCTATTACATCTACAGACATTTTGAGGAACATAACATCGCAGAAGTTTTTTTTCTCCTGAAATAACAAGTATTACTTACAGGCGTACCCTGCTTAAGACAGTTTAATAAGATCTGTTGAAAACAGATTGTTTAAAAAAATGCCTTAAAAAAAAAAAAAAAAAAAACAGGTAAGTCAGGCCTTGTTCACACCTCTAAAGCACTCTTATCCAGGCTGCAGATGTTTGGAAAAGGATAGTGACAATGGTTTCTTAGCGCCATAACAATCTTCACAGGAACTTGGTCTCAGGGTTGCACTGAGGCCACAGTCTATAGATTTTCACTTCTCCGTACCCTCCTGGATGTTTTAGTATCAATGTATAGAATTGGTATGATAAACTGGCTCCGGATAACCTTGGCAATGTCAAATATCTTCACTACAGCTCAGGATGGTTTCCAGTTGCCAAGCCTTAACCTACCCATCTTGGTTTTTCTATTGGTTTTGAAGGCGTCCACAGGGCCTTTGGAAACTCCACACAAATCTCGTCATCATCTAATCTGTGCAAAATACAACACTATGCCTTACTTCCCTTGGCTCAGAATTAATCATTTTATTAATGAAACTTTAAGACATAAAAACTTAAGCCACATTCACCCATCTGACCACTCAACCCAAAGTATCCACATCTTTCTCTTTCTGAATCTGTAATCTAGTTAATTACTATGATCTTCCAATTCTACCTTCTAAGTATTTTTATCCTCCCTAGTCCACTACCAAGTCTCTGCCTCTTTGGACTAACATTTACATATTTTCTTCTAGTCTATTTTATTCAACAGAATTTGCAATGGTTGTCAAAAATGTAGGACAGAGTAAGTTATTTTTCTTTTATGCTTTTGCCATAAGGCTGTGTGCTTGCCAGAGATAGTGATTAAATGACACCTCCCAGGGCAGAGTGGGGGAGTGGGCGCAGGAGATGATGACCAGGCCATAGTCCCTTCTCATCTATTTTGGGCACACACACACACATGCCTATCACGATTTTCAAGCCACTAGGTCCAGGCCTCAACCATAGTCAGTCATGTGGAAGTCCAGCACCTTAACCATCACATCATCTCCTGGCCCCAAAGACATGGTCTCACTCTGCTGCAACCCTCCTGTCTTAGCCTCCTGGGTGGCTGGAACTTCCAGGTACATGCCACTGTGTCCTGTCTTCAGGCTGGGCCAGAAATGGAACCTAGGCTTCCCACGTGACCTCAGCCTGTAGAGAGCAACAATGTCTTACACAGCCACTGCAACTGGGCCAGGAATTTTTTCAATGTACACAAGAACACCAAAATTGAAGAAAAAGGGAAAACAGTAAGAAACTAAAAAACTAAATAAATAAACTAAGTTAATATTATTGAAAAATTGACCAGGAATCCTAGAAAATTAAACATGGACCTCCATTAATTTTTCTAAGCAGTAAGACAGCAACTTGACCTCAATCACAACATGGAGTTTCTATAAAAACAGACTTACAAAACTGTTTTTCAGGTTTACCTACATTTGTCACTCAAAGAGACTAATTCACTCTAATCAAACTAAAAAGGGACTAAAGGAGCAAAAATACAAAATACGATGGCATACATTACTAACACAAGTTTTGGACTAGCAAAAATACAAAATACGATGGCATACATTATTTTCACAAGTTTTGGATTTTTTTTTTTTAATCAGTGGAACAGCACATTTTCTTCCTGTAGAATATTTATATGGGAAGCCAAATTATGAAGTTCTTGATAAGCGTGAAGACATATTCAGGAACAAGTTATCTTAAGCCATGTCCTCTGCCTACAAGAGCTTAGAAAATCTTATGAGCTATGGGGAAAGCTTTGCCAGGTTTCCTTCAAATCCACTGTCAGAGGAATTCCCCACCCTCACATCACCATGAGTCTGAACAAGCATGGCCCAAGTTTGCCTCTCATTTTCTTTTGTTGTAGTTGTCATCTTAGTCTATTTATAAGCTCTTCTAGGTTAGACAACTCTCCTCAATGATCACTTTCTTTCCTTAGGTATTTGAGCCCAGAAAATAGACTGCTAGCAGGAATTTTTACTTTCTACTTTTATTAAACAGTAAAATTTGCATACATTAGTTGATCAATTGTGAGTGAATTTTGTAATTATCAGCACTTTATGCCCTTGCCCATAATACCATTGTTACATGATTTCTTAGAGCAACACTTCCTTATAGAAACTCAGGTCACAAAGTAATAGTTATGTAAAGGATTAATACTCCAATCTTGGTTTAATAAAATGAGAAAACCAAAATTCTCTTAGTTACAATCTGTGGTTCACTAATTTATATTTGAATTCCCACAAAAGACCATGATGAAATTTTCAAAATCATAGTTAAAAAACTTTGTAAAGGCTTTTATTATAAGGAGTGTGTGCCCACTGGAGAGACAGAGAGACAGGAAGAAAAAAAATGAGAAATCAACCCGCAGAGTGATGGCTACATCGCAATTGCTCTTCCTCCATTCTCCTCCTGGGATGCTGGCCACTGATGCACACAAGCCTGGTATGACTTTCAAGCCATCAGTTCTGGAACTCAAACCGCTGTCAGCCATGTGGGAGTCCAGTACTTTAACCACCACACCACCTACTAGCCCCTCTTGGAAATATTTTTAATCAATTTACAAAAGGAACTTATTTCCTGTACACCCTGGAAATTAGTTATCATTGATCCTTCTATTTTTATCCATAAGCACAAATCAGAACTACCAGTTTATATAATCTTTTTTTTTCAGAGGTTTTTGCTATAGGGCGCGTGCACTCGCCAGAGAGAGAGAGAGACAGAGAGATAGAAAGCGAGAAATCACCCCCCAGGGGGGATGACTACACTGCAATCCCTTCTCCTCCATTCTCCTCTCGGGATCTTGGGCACACACACACACGCACCCGGTGTGAGTTTAAGCCACTGGGTCCGGGACGCGAACCGCGGTCGACTACGTGGGAGTCTAGCGACATAGCCATTACGCTAACTGCTGGTCCCAGCAGTTTATATAATCTTAAAGATAAAGTACAGCATATGACCATATAAACATTTCTAGATGTTTATAAACATATACATACACTGACAAATTGTGATATATAAATATTCACAACATAATTATGGTAGATAAACTGTTAACTTCATTGTTCCAGAGATAGCGTTTAGTTAACATGTGTCAAATAATGGAGGGCTCAGAGATATTTTTGAATCTCAATCTGATCATCTTCTAAGCAATTTCATTGGAGAAAAGTAATACTTGGCTGACTGGGGAAAAGATGTGTTCTTCCAATTTTATCAATGAGAATACAGCTTAAAGTTTCAATCAATTCACAACACGGGCTCTTTAAAAGCCTTCTCCACCTTCTTGATGCCAGCCCAAAGAACAGGCCTCCGGTACATGCCAGAGACCTAGGAATCTATTCCTTAATTCCTAGGTCTCAATCAGTTGTCCTATTCTCGGCTGTCTACTAGCCCAACCTCAGTGATACCCTGTGTTGCTTCTTAGCAACTGTTCCACCTGAAGGCTTGAATTTTAACTTTAAATCTATAAAATCTGGTTTGTTTCCATGCCTATCTCCTTTATTATTATATCTTCCCAGGTTTTGTTGATATTTACCTGTTGTCCCTACTCTGGTTCATGTTTCCCTCTGATTCTGTTCCTTTAGGCAGTTAAATTAATAGAAATAAATGCATTTAAGTGCCAATGCTTAGTTGGATGCATGTCCTATCTAGGTTATCTTCACACTTCCCTATCCCAATTTAGAAGTTAGGACCAAAGATCAGTCTCTTTCCAAGCCCTAATTCATTTGTCTGTTTTATATTGGTTTGAAATTCCAAGAGACCAAAGTGAACCCACAGGAGTTATTTTTTGAGTATCTTTCATTTTTAGGCAAAGAGTAAACAAAAAATTCAAAGATATATAACTTATCAACCCTCTATTGAATGGCAAAACTCAAACAAAGAAAACTAACTTATGAGGAGCAACAAAAATGAGCTTTGAAGTGAAATTCTGGGCATCACACACAGCGTTTAAAGAGCAAGGACCATTATACCTACTCGGTAGAACCTAGATGACTGGCAGTGGGCACATCAATTACAGAGTTTCATATTAGGGATCGTGAAAGTTGTGCTTTTTCTTTAACAAGTAGTAATCATACATAAATGCTCCACTAAAAGAAAAAAAATGTATTTTATAAGACATTTATACTTCCATTTTCTCTCCTTATTTTAACTTGCACACTTTACCTTTTGGAATGAAATGACTAAAAACTTTCAGCACCATACTCTAGGAAATCTATCAGTAGTCTTCAGGGATCATTTTTTTTTTTAAGTTTTTTGCCTAAGACTGTTGTGCACTTGCCAGAAAGAGAGAAGAACAGAGGGAAAGTAAGAAATCACCCTGGGGGGATGGGGGGGTTGGCCACACCGCAATCCCTTGTCCTCCATTCTCCTCTTGGTATCTTGGGCACAAACGTGCCCGCAGCGTGATTTTCAAACCACCTCCATGACTTGAACCACGTTCCACCATGTGGGAATCCAGAGACATGAGGCTAGCTATCTGCTGCCCCCCAGGAACTATCTTTTACTGACAAAGACAAAGGTTTAGATTTGGCAAATGGCCAAGAAGGACCTGTACACCCCTGTAATGTTTTTCCAAAGTTTCCTTGGATATGTCCAACATATAATCGTATTCCATATGTTTTCAGGTACAGTAGTGATTAAAAAGGAGCCATGAGGTATTTCAAAATGGAGATTTTAATTAGTTACCATTGCTATCAGTTTTAGGGGTGCTGCTATTAAGTAAAAAATGAGAAACAAGAGTTCTTTTGCTTTGTTTTTCATAAATGAGGACTTTCTAAACATTTTTTTAAACATGAGGATTTTTTTGGTGTACATCTATCTCAGGCTGCCTCTGAAGAGGTGGAAATGCAAGTTAGAACAATGTTTTTCCTGTACTCTTCACTACATGATTTAACAAAGTACCACAGTTCCTCACTGCCTTCGAAATCAAATTTAACTTAGCAAAAGTATGTGATCCTTGGTCATTTGGGGGCTTCTCACTCCTCCAGTGATGCCCCTGTGCTGTATCACATTACTAGTTGCTAAAAAAGTAAAACCCCTCCTGCCCACCTTCGCAGTTCCTCATTACTGCTCACCTTGTTCTCCTTTCCTCATTCCCTTTACTTCTACTTTTCTCCAACTAGTGAAACTTCATTCTCTTTTCCAAGATTATGAGTGTACTGTACTAAGCTAAATTTCACTCTTCAGTTTCCACCATTCAAAGGTTGGGATTAAATTCTGCCCCTCCTTCCACATTCAGCGCCTAATTACCAGTAAAGTCTTACAGGAGGTGCTAAAGTTTTGAGTCAGTTGCTGAAAGGAGAATGGAAGAGCCCGGGCTACAGCAAAGCCATCCCCCCCAAGGGTGATTCCTAGCTGTTTCTCTATCTCTCCGGGGAGCTCGAGCGCCCTATAGTAAAAATCGCTCAAGAGAAAATAATAATAATAATTTTTAAAAATGTAAAATAAATCATAAAATGACTGCTGAAATGCCCATTTGGGTAGTACACGCGCCATTCGTTCGACGCATGCGCAGACAGGGACTCCAGGAGCAACCTCTCAGTTCGCACAGTAAGAACTAAAAGCTCCTTAGTCTCTACCCAAGCCTCGTTGATCCAGCTGCACATGCCCCGCTTTCCCCACCATCTGCCTGAGTACATAAAGACGCTGCGGGGCAGCTCCAACTTTCGTGCCCATCTCGAAACGCTGGGGAGAACGGAGCTCAAGCCAGAAAGACGGAGCCGGGGAGTGGGGCCCAAGCAGGCGTCTCCCGAGGTGCAAGGCGCCGGCGCGACGGCAGCAGCAGGGCCGGATGTCGCGGGGCGGGGAGCGCGGGACGCGCCTGGCGCCTAATTACCTCTCCAGGGCCTTTAGGGTGTAGCTGATGAGCGGCCTCTCCAGGATGGGGCAGAACTGCTTCGGGGTGGGGACGCCCCCCCCCCGCCCCCCCCTGCCGGCAGCCCGGCAGCCACCGCGAGCGCAGAGCGCCCCGGCTCGGCTCCCGCCGCGTTCAGCAAAGAGGCCGCGGCCTCCTGCTCTGCGCCGCGCAAGCCACCCAGGCAAGGCTGCGGCGCGGCGCGCCAGGTGCCC